TAAGCCTCTCGTAAACCATATCTAGTTGAAAATAATTATCACCTTTTATTCGCCGTCGTAATTATGTGGAATCAAACAAGAATTGTATCCATGTAAAATTGTGTATTTAAATGCGATTGTGCAGCTTTTGAAAATGAAATCGCCGAAAAAAAAATAATAAAGCATCCGTGATTTAGTGCGTCTCACTACGACTAAAATTAACGAGCTATACACTGCTTAATGCGTTTAATGACATTCGTAACTTGAAATTAATCACGTTTTTCTCACCGACTAGCTAGATAAAACAAAATGTATGATTTAAATTTTTATTTTTTATTTTGAATGCTCATGAGAAGAAAGTTGAGACATTGTGAACACTCGAATGTTCTATGGGAATGATAATTCCAGCCAAATAAAAAGTTGCTCCGGCTTAAACACATCTAAAAGTTTCAACCGTACATTTAAAAATAAAGAGGTTTAACGCAAATTCTTCGAAAACAGTAATTTTTCTATTTCAGTCTTTTGAATAAAGTTGAAAGAATTTATTGGGTTACTACTTTTATGGTTAAATAAGTAGGCAGTTGATCTTTACAGAAAAGCTCTTTCATTATTACCTTTCATATAGTATAAACTGAGTTCCGTATTTATACTTATTTTCCAAAAGTCACATTCGTTTTCATTTCGTCATGGATTATCCTGAATTCACATTGGTTCGGCTATCAGAATCTATCTGGTCGAAGTTATTTGTGGCAATAATTAATAAAACATAAAGGATATTATCTAGGTCAATGGTTCAGAGGTATATTGCTCGCCGATCACACATGTGGTTCAGAGTTCAACCCGTAGCTGACATGCTCGTGAGTCTTGCTCAGCCGGCAGCAAGTCCGATAGGAGCAGAAGATTGGGTATTAAGCTGGTAATCCCACACGGTGAAAAAAAATAACACCACTTCTACTGAAACTCCAAAGCTCCAAGGTTGAAACCCTATGGTCCACTCGGGACGAATAAGAATAAGCATTTTTAAAAATAAGAAGATGTCATATTTCGGGAGTAAATAATATTTCCACAGTTAAATACAGAACGGATTACAAAACGAATCAATTATCATTTATTCATGTTATTTATTTGCTTGTATGAATTTGGTGAAATACAAAAAACAATTATGAAAAGCAGTGTGCATTATACGAGTGTTTCACCTAATATTTGGATAGCCTCCAAACGAGAATGAGGTTTGAGTTTTCAGCTAGTGCCTACAACTTCTGATAACTTTATCTAGGTGTTTTACCACTCCTGATGTTTGTATGCTATTCAGGCTGCTTAACATCTGATCGGATTCATCATCTTATTCCATTACGTACTTTTTTCACGTCAAGGAGAGAATTTCAGTATGACAAACATAAAATATTTTCTTCCACTGAATTATTTGTTCCTTAAAGAATACTTTTCCCTTGTTAACGCAAACAACGTCTAAAATATCAGGCTTCCATTAAAGTTAAAGGATGTTGCAACTTGTTCTGTAAATGACTGAACCGTCTACCGCCCCTGGAATCCCGTAGACATGTTTCAGATGAATGCCATCTGTAAAATTCTAAGCCATCACTTAACAATAACATTTGCAAAATCTCTTCTGGCAGGCCTGAAATAGTTTACGAATGAGATATTATCTGCCGTATAGTGTCGTTCAGATTCTGAAACCTTCAAATTTTTTTGAGTAATGGACATTTCCTGGTGAAATAACACTTTGCTCCACCCAGTGTAGTTTGGTGCAAATATGTTAGGCTATTATTTCGCCTGAAATACTGCCATATAAGATTTTGTACTAATGATATTCAAATTCTTCGAAAATAAATAATAAAAGAAAACCCACCAAGTCATACATAATGAGCAATTATGTCAGGACATCAAGCCATCACTCTATAATAAACCTGTCACTGTATCTATTACAATCCTAAAGGAAGTCAATCGTCAAAATAGCTCACCAAATAGCGCCGTTAACTATAGCACTGGGTGATGTTGGTTCACATCTCGAGAAAAGTATCAGTCCTCTAGTGTCAATATACAAGAAGGCTAAGGCCGAGTCTACGTATGGATTACCCCCCAAACTAACTAGCTTGTGATTTTTCCACAAACCTCTTTTAAGTTCACTATTTTTGGTTTTAAAGTCTATTTCTTTTTAAATAGTCCCAACCTGATACCAATAAATATGTGTAACATTGACACTTATGATATGTACATGGTTCAGTGAGTATGTGGAAGAAATAAATCATAACCTCCTCTCAGGAAAACATCGAGAAGACGAAGGTGATGAATATAACCAACCAACAACAACAACAACAACCAGCGCCAATTACCATCAAATGCAGAGATCTGACAGAGGTTAATTCCTTCACTCAACCACAGAAAGTCGAGACGGATGAAGATGTCAAAGCCAGCCAGAATATGAAAGGTAAGATACGCCTTCATCAACCTGAAACCAGTTTTGAAATCTTCTACACTTTAAATAACGAATGAGACTTGGATTTTCAACGTAAATGTGAAGTCAGTCAGTCCTTCTATACGGGTCACAAAATCGGCCAGTGTATCACGAGGGGCATCTTTGAAAGGTTGCAGACTCTTATCAAAAGCTGACTTGACTGGCTTCACATTAAAGATCAAATGGCCAGCTGACCAGAAAGAATTAGCGACAAGAAACTCTGGCTGGGAACGAACCAACCTAGAGTTGATCGCTCAACAAGTATGTAGGATAAAATGTAGATGGATAGGGCATAAGTTGAGAAAGCTGTCTAATAAAATCGCGCGCCAGGTCATCACTCGAGTGGAAACAGAATGCTAAGCGAAGAATTTGTCATCGTCTCGAGGTTAACATGAAGGCGATTGTGCGAGGAGGAGATGAGAGATTATGGGCAATCATCGACCTAGCTGAAGAGGAGAGCAGAAAATAGACTAGAGTGGAAATGTTTTGTTGAAGCCATATGTTCCACTCGAACCCAAAAGGATAATAAAAAATAATGTAGACACCAAGCTGCACCCAAAAAAAAACTTCAAAGCAATCTACAGAGTAAGAAGTAGTCTTCCTAAAGGTGTACGAATCAGACTTCTTCAAACTGCAGAAGCAATGGCGATTCACTTGCTAAGCCCTGAACTCTGCAAACAGAAGAAGTTCGTCCAATCACTACACTTGCAATGGACTTAATCTATCTTCTAACTCAATAAGCAAATTCTACCTAATCTTTTTTTGTCTGAGTCTTCATTAGTATTATTTTGTCTTCTCAATTGTAATATTTTGCATTTTCAACTTCCTTGTTCTCTACCCTCACCCGATTTAATTTCTACACCTCACTACCAATGTTACCGACTTGACCAACGCTCAACTTCTAGTAATTTATCTTACGTCATCCAACTTGATCGCTCAATTTCAATTCTAATTTGGATGGCATTATTCTCTACCCGACTTCTACTTAGTCTTTACCCGTAATTACCTCTGTTGCTACCCTGACGTGGGTTGAAACATTTTAGTCAATTATATTTCGTCATCTAACTTACCAACTCAATCTTACTTTAGTTGCTATCTGATTAACCTTGTTTCTATATTAGATCATTCTTGTATTACCTGATCAATTATCTAAACTTGACAAACCTCATGTACACACACAAATAATTATATATAAATGCGATTGTACAGCTATGTGAATGAATTCGCCGTCGAAAATAGTCTCTTCGCTGAACGTCTTCTCTTTTTGACAATACAGAAGTGTTGATTTTATGTAAATTACTGCATAACAAGTTTTTTGAAAGAAATTCCAGTTTGTTTCACATTTGTTTAATTTTATGAAACAAAAGAACAGTCGTGAGAATCACAGGCAGTACGAACCCCCTGAGGTTCGCACCCACGACCCTCCAGCTTCAAAGCAAGCTTGTATACCAACCAACCACTGGGACCCGATGCCGTCATCAGCCAATGAATTCTAACTTCTACCAATTCGTGATAGAGTGTGACTACCAATCAGTTTCGTTAGCGCGAAATCCATTTTCACACTTGACTGGATGGACCTCACTGGTCATTGTCCAGCACTTCTTGGCTACCAATGGTGCTGTTATAATTATTTGTAATAGTAATATTTACCAATAACCGAAATGCAGGAAATCAACCAACAACACAGAAAGGGATGAACCTAGGAATTTGTATTTGGCGGACTTATTTTTAATTCATATGACAGATATTAACAAACAACAATAAGTATTTAACAGTAAGTAATAGAAATTGTCAATCACCGCAAGTGGTCTAATTGATATCTATCCTTGGTGAAACTCGAATTCTTAAAAACCAACTCTTGAAATGTTGCGTGAAGCGCTTCTTTTTCAAAACCACATAGTGAAAACAAAGATTTAATCAATGTTTCAATATACATAGCTTCACCATCAACTTCTATGTAAGCACAGCTTAAGCTTTCGTAGCTAAAAGATTGAACAATAAACATGAAATAAAACTGTGCGTGACTTGCCTTAACAAAGTCCACTGGGTTTCATAGAAATTGTAGGTCGGGTGTGAGGACAAATAATTGCCGAAGATATTGGCTAGGGGTCACACTATGTCGTGAATTGGCAGAAGTTAGAATTCATGAACTAGCCAATGGATCGGATCCCAATGGCTTAATGGTCTACGAGCTAGCTCGCCTTGTAACCAGAAGATCCTGGGTTCGAATCCCGGTAGGTGCATACTGCTGAAGAGTCCCAAACTAAGTTGGCGAAACAGCTGTCCAGTACTCCCAGGTTTTCCAATGGTTCTCTAACTAATGTCAGCTGATGACGAAATCCTGTAACCAATCAAATCCCTACAGCCCAACACTTGAATATGAATCATAAATAATGAAAGGAAATCAATATAAAACTTTGGCTTATTTAATTATCGTACTTTTAGCAAGTAAACACTGAATTCACTAATCAATAATTAAATTCTACTTCATTCACTTAAATAAAACAAACGTGTATCAAAGTACAAAATACTCAGACAACAGTAAAGCCTTTATTTGAATAATTCTTGTTAGTCTCTAATTAATACACATTATTATTATAAACATAATCAATGCGAGATGGTCGTTAAATGAGTTAACCAAAATTTTTGCCAACTCTACACTCGTCACATGATGCACTCACTTCTGAAACTGAAAAAGATGTTTTTCATATATATATTTTTTTCTCCAATTAGAAATTCAACGTACTCATGGCATTCTAACATTTTTTTTCTGAATAACAAATTAAACTACACACACACACAGTAAATATAAACACTTTTGATTCTGTCGATAGCGCAAAAATGCATTATACCCACTGATTATTTCACTTTTTCGTTTTCAGCAAATTAGAATATTTTCTGCATTTTATTGTCTATATGTATAAAAAGCATAGAATTTGTTTAAAACTGACTCACAACTGTTACAATGAAAGAATATCAAGTCACTATACTAAGCAGTGAAATGTCTGAAGATGTGGAAACATATGCATGTCGAGCAGCATCTGAAGCTCTTAGTATGGAAACAAGCTATAGTGGAATTGCTGGTTACATAAAAAAGGCTTTCGATAAAAAGTATAAAAAGACCTGGCATTGTATAGTTGGTACAAATTACTGTGGGTAAGTTTTTATTCAAAAAAAAACACTTTTACTTATTTCGCTTTTTTATTGACAGACCTATTTTTTGTTTTTTGATAACAGCTTGATTCCACACTGTATTTTTGGTACAAATATGGAATTTTCAGCATGTGATATCGGTAGGCAGGCCGACCATAGATATCAGGTGTGCGTCGGCAGGGGATCGAACCTCGGACCATGTGCATGATCGGCGAGAGTCCTAACCATTGTGCCACCGAAGCCATGTATAGTCGTGGAATTATGCGAAAGCAACAGTAGTTGTCGACGTTATTATTATTCCGCGATAGATTTATGTTTAGCTATAGTTAATGCAAATTTATTAGCGTTGAATCAAGCTGCAAAAGGTTTCTAAAGAGTTTTTCACCCTGGTTCTTTTTAATCCCTGTTTTCTTTTAAAGGGGTAGAAACAACCTTTGTGAACTCATCATATGGTGTTTTTATTTTATTATTTTACGTCTCGAGTGGAACACAGGGCTTCAAGCTAGAGCTTTGATTACAGGATTTCATTATGAGCTAACATTGGTCACAGAACCATTGGAAAACCTGGGAGTACTGGACAGCTGTTTCGTCCTAGTTTGGGACCCTTCAGCAGTACGCACCCATCGCCAGGGTTCGAACCCAGGACCTTCTGCTTACAAGGCGAGCTAGCTCGTAGACCATTAAGCCACTGGAACCCGATCAAATGGCCAGTCCATGAATTCTAACTTCTGCCAGTTCATAACATAGTGTGACCCCTAGCCAATGTCTTCGGCGAGTAATTTTCCTCACACCCGACCTGCTGCACCCTACTTGTCACGACTTCTCACTAGAACCTCAGGTAACTACCTACCTGAATTAGGCAAGTGGCTAGTGAGCATCTCACCGATAGTTAAGTGTTGGTCAGCTCATGATGAAATCTTGTAACGAACTGCATTCCTACAAACCAGCACTAGAGCTTTGAAGTTTCAGTCACAGTGGTTTTATTTTTTGTAAGGGTCGGGGTTATTAGCCTCACTCCAAACCGACCTTACTATCGGCTAACGCGAGGTTTAGAGTGTGTCAGCTGAGAATCGAACCTCAGATCACGTGCGTGGTTGGCAAGCATTCTACCGCTAAATTACAAAGACTATCATCTAGTAGCAGTGTATAAATATCAATAATAATAAACGCAGTGATTTGTTCATGTCGAACAAGTCTTCATAATAATTGTAATACGGAAAATGTGGTGTAGGATATGATGATAATTACAGCAACTTGAGATACTATTAAGAACAACAGAGCATTTCCTTCCTAAGGAACAAGGATCATTAAGAATCCACCGTCTGTTTTTCTAAAAGAAGTGTAAATAGATTATAAGGGTGAACAAACTAACTAATACAGTAACATTTTGTACTTACATATATAATGATTTTCAGAGTGATGAGATGACTAACTCTTTATGGTTTACTATGTGATAACAGAAAATTAACTCGTTAACTTGAGTTTAACTGATATCTGGGTAATCAGTGTTGACAATACACTTCAGTATTTAATTGGTGGATGGTGACTAGCAGTGGAATCCAGGATGCGCATTTAGTCCTATTTGGGACTCTTCATCTGGATGTAGGACGAACTGCCCATCCTGGATTCCACTGCTAGTCACCATCCACCAATTGAATACTAACTAAATGCCCAGATATCGTCGAAGCATCTGCACAAGAAGCCAACATGTCAACCTCAGACCGAGAACTTCGGTCCAATCAATCGACGAGGAAATCTCAAATTCAATTAAAATACACTTCAATATTTCTTATCACATAATTCATCACACATAACTTGTCATGTCTTTGTATTTTTGACAGGGCATTCTCACATGAAACTGGAAACTTCATTCATTTCATTCTGGATGATCTCACATTTTTATTGTTTCGTTCAACTTAATTCAAACTGCAATTAGTCTTGCTTACCTATAGTATATTTAATGCTAATTTATACCTTTAAAAGTATTCCAAAACTTTACAAGTTATTAATAAAAGTTTATTTACATTCTTTGCTTTCTTAAACTTGTTTTACTTCTTACTGAAGTGTATTTATAAGGAAAATGTTGCAAAGATAGTAACACATAATCTTCAGAAGTGTATACTCATGATCCTACCTGGGAGTTTCAGGTTACTGGGGTGTTCAGTCATTTGATCTGGAATTTAGTGACCTATGAATATAAACTTTGTGAACATTTGCATGAACTAAAAGTCAAAGTAATGAAGAAAACTAATCATCTAAATTATACCATACTTAAGCATTACTGGGATTAATTATTCTTGAAGATTCACTCGACATTATTTATAAAAAACAATAATGTTGTCAATAACAATGGTTCTTTAATTATTGTAGATATGTAACTAAATGTAGAACCTGATGAAAAAGGTTATTAAAAAGAATATTCTTTATTTACATCGTCATTTGGTAATTTCAATATCCACACTGTATGATCAGAACAAGAAAATTTTCTGGGCAAAGAAGTGTTTTCAATAACTTCCTCTTCGGGTTCTACAGTCATAAATCTATGACTGTTAGAACACAATAAAGTGAAATCAAAGTTATATCAAAAGCTGATGAAATTATAGTCCATTAGTTAACACTGTCACTTAAATGTATATAAAATTTAGGGCCATTTAGAGCAGAAAAGTGTGAATAGAAAGTTAAGTGACATGTGGAACCTGGAACAATATGCTTGTGCAGTTTTTTTGTAAGATGTGAAAAAATGGAAACAGTGTACATAACGTTTGTTCAAAAGAAGTCATTGTAAAATATGGGTAATTTTGGAGTACAGTCTAAAAAGCAGCGTGCTGCTCGTCACTTCGTCTTGTCACAGGTATATACTGTCTATTTGTTTCACTACTAATCCTGTTGTATCCTTTGGAATTCTCAGGAACCTCTTATCCTCATCCGAAGACTGTTCTACATCCGAAGCACGACTTCTACTAGTAGAAATGATCCCAGCAGTAAACACTTCTGTTGACTGTATAATAAATTTTTAGCAGCAGATTTTAACCACATCATCAATTAACTATTAATTTGCTTAACTCGTTAATAGTAGTTTTTATAATATATTGTTTCAATATTCATTCATCAACTTCGATTTTCATTCTGACATTTTGTACCGTTATCGAGCTAGATACTAAATCCCCTAGAAACATACTGATGTTTTTAAAGGAAGAAGCAGTAGGGAAAGGGTGACCAGTATCGACCAGACAATATTAGTTCACTTATCCCTGAGTAAGAAAAAAATACTGCACAAAGATCTACTGATTTATATGGTTTATCCATTGATGAACGGCAGACGTTTAATGAATATGTCACTGTGGTCACCAATAAACGTACACTGTCTTTTAATTTCAAACTATCTAATAGCCCGAAATCTATCAAACCTTACCGAAAATTTCCTGATATTCTTAATAGAAACGTATCGAACCATTCTTCTATATCCTTGTCTAAGTTGCAGATACAAGCCTTTTCTATGAGCTCAAAGTTTTGTGATGTTAATCTTAATGATAACAAGCTTCATACACATGTTCAGTTTGAAAATCTACTCAGATAAACCAATGATCTTATACCGTGGTCTGATCAAGATTTACAACTCTTCAGATCTACCATCGCTGACTCTTGAATTCGGCACCTTAACGCCAAACCGAAAATGCACAGTCTTCTGACAAAATAGAGCAAAGAAGAGCTTAAACAAGTGATACACAATAAAGATATACTATTTATACATCCTGACGGGGTTTGTGGTGTTGTTATCATGGATCGGAAAAATTACACCGACGGGGTTGGTGAGTTGTATTCAAAGCCGTAGGAGAAATATGAATACTACAAGTGGGGTAAGCTGAATGAAAATTTCACTGCTGACATACAACAGACATGATAAATTAAAGTGCTCAAATAACAAACTGTAATCAAATAATAAAGATAAGATAAGCTTAGTACAAATTGAAAGGCTGACAAATAATTATGATAATAATGGTGTGAATTTATTGTTTTAGATGAAATGTTCATGAGACCAGTTTTTGTAGAGCTACTAATAAAGGTTGATATACGTATGTCATATAACGACGCGACATCTGTTGAGACTTGAGAAGGTTCGAAAAAAAATGAACCACAAAAATACTCTTATGTTTTGCTGAGGTAACACCATGTCTGTCATAAAGATTTCTTGATTATCAATCAGCTCATCTACTCACGTAAAATGAGGATTAATACAAGGTCTTGCAGACAGAATACTTAGACTTACAACAACACCAAATGACCAATGAAAAGAAATAAAAGTCTTATTCAGAATTTTACTCGACAACAACTTCCCAGAAGAATTTATCAGAGATAATATAAAGAAAAGGGTAAAAGCAGAGAATGACAAGAAGGAGGGAGGCAAAGAGACAATCACAATACCATACAAAAATGGTGCATCAACGGCAATTCGAAAAAAACTTCAAAAATATTAGGATTCGCACTAAGCTTAAACCAACAAATCTAATTCAAAGTAAGATAAATCAACTGATGGATTAAAGCAATGTAATTTACAAAATATCTGGTGCCGAGTGTCTGACTAAATATGTGGGTCAAACGTCCAGATCTCTCAAAATGAATAAATATAAACGCATAACTGAAAGTCATCCAACAGGAACACAAGGTTACAATAACTTAGAAAACAAATTTGTCTATAGCTTATTCATATTAGAATAAAACTTGTGCAATGTGGTAGAGTGTAATTCCACTATGGGTAAATTTTTGTTTTGATAAAGTCTCACAGGGTTATACAGTATTGTTTACTGATAAGGTTTCGAGCTCAATTTATTGCTCATAATCATATCAAGGTACTCCTCACAAAACTTCCTAACTTCATTTATATAGTTCCATTATTTTTCACTTGATTTTCACTTCATTTGATTGGTATTAGTATTTTCCATATTTCAGGTATGAGTGATGAATCATTCCTATTGCATGTGTTTGGTGTAGACTCGATGAACAAGGATTCAGTAATCAACCTCTCTCTCCACCTATCTAGATTACTTCTTAGAATTTTAACCATCTCCCACCCTATTGTGTGGTTGTGTGTTAATGCATGCATTGCAATTTCTGAGCTTTTTTCTAAATTACTTATCTTTTCAGAGTCAGCCATTCTTACCTTAGCTAAATTCTTATTTTCTGACAATCTGACTACCCATGACTTACTAGTTTAACCTATATAGTTGACCTCACAGTCATTGCAGGGTACTTTGTAAATTATATTATTTTGTCTAATTGGGTCAACTGGGTCCTTTAAGCTACACAGCTTGTCTCTGAGTGAGTTTGTAGGTTTAAATGCCACCCTAATTCCTGCTTTATTTAGAATCCTACGTAGGGTTTCAGATGTCCCCTCTTTATATGGAATAACTGTAGATGACTTATATTCTCTCTTATTTATAATATTATTACTAGTTTCACAATTATTTTTATTTTTCGTTTGGCCTTTTTCGATCTTCCTAATGAATTTTAAAGGATAGCTATTTAACATCAAAGTTTCTTCTATCTGTTTCAGTTCATCATTTAGGTATTTTCTTGTGCTACTTATTGCTACTGCTCGGTTTGTTAAACACTTAACTAAGCCTGCCTTAACAATTAACGGATGAGATGAATTAAAGTCTGAGTATCTATTAGAATGAGTTGGTTTTCTGTACACACTAGTGTGCAGTTTACCTTCTTCTATTCGTTTTATTTTACAATCTAACATAGCTAATTCTCCTTGTTAATTTTCCGATTCAAATGTGAATTTTAATCCCTGTACTAGTGAGTTTATGTGTGTAAAGAAGCTAAAGATATGTTCTGTTTTTAACACTGTGAAAAAGTCATCCACATATCTCCACCATATTTTTGAAGCAGGATTAAACGTATTAAGAGCATTACTTTCCTAGCTGTCCATAAATATGACTACTACGACAAGGGATATTGGTGATCCCATTGCTTCCCCTGTTTGTCTATATATTTTACCTTGGAATTTAAAGATAGTAGATGTGAGGTATAACTGAATCCCTAAAATAATTTGTTCAGTGGGCAGCTTTGTCCTATGATTGAGTTCAGGATCCGTGATTAGTTCTTTTTTAACTGCTTCTAAGGCCATATTGATTGGTATATTAGTATAAAGACTAGTTATATCAAAACTAATCATTTTTTCATCATTCTCTAGTTGAATGTCATTTAGTTTATTTTTCATCTCATATGAACTAGTTAGTCTAGAGTTTGAACGATTTCTAATGAGGCATAATATTAGAGTTAAGTGCTTTGATAATTCATAAGTAGGGGTATTTCTAAAATCTACTCTTGGTCGTATGGGTAGTCTGGCTTATGTATTTTAACAGTACCATGCATTCTAATAGCATTATTAGTTTTAGGCATTAAATTAAACCACTCAGACTCACCCAGTATTGGCTTAATTCTGCGCATTAGTTCTGCTAAAGATTTCTTAACCTTATTCCTTATTTTGTCTACAGCCTTCTTAACTTCTTCATATGGACAGAGCAGTAGCACTAAGTAGCACAAGAAAATACCTAAATGATGAACTGAAACAGATAGAAGAAACTTTGATGTTAAATAGCTATCCTTTAAAATTCATTAGGAAGATCGAAAAAGGCCAAACGAAAAATAAAAATAATTGTGAAACTAGTAATAATATTATAAATAAGAGAGAATATAAGTCATCTACAGTTATTCCATATAAAGAGGGGACATCTGAAACCCTACGTAGGATTCTAAATAAAGCAGGAATTAGGGTGGCATTTAAACCTACAAACTCACTCAGAGACAAGCTGTGTAGCTTAAAGGACCCAGTTGACCCAATTAGACAAAATAATATAATTTACAAAGTACCCTGCAATGACTGTGAGGTCAACTATATAGGTTAAACTAGTAAGTCATGGGTAGTCAGATTGTCAGAAAATAAGAATTTAGCTAAGGTAAGAATGGCTGACTCTGAAAAGATAAGTAATTTAGAAAAAAGCTCAGAAATTGCAATGCATGCATTAACACACAACCACACAATAGGGTGGGAGATGGTTAAAATTCTAAGAAGTAATCTAGATAGGTGGAGAGAGAGGTTGATTACTGAATCCTTGTTCATCGAGTCTACACCAAACACATGCAATAGGAATGATTCATCACTCATACCTGAAATATGGAAAATACTAATACCAATCAAATGAAGTGAAAATCAAGTGAAAAATAATGGAACTATATAAATGAAGTTAGGAAGTTTTGTGAGGAGTACCTTGATATGATTATGAGCAATAAATTGTGCTCGGAACGTCATCAGTAGATATCACTGTATCGTCTTAAGCTTCACATGCATGGGATAAATGTCACAATACTGATTGGAACAACGTTTGTATTCTGAATCTATTATAAATAAATGGAAAGACAGACTAATAATAGAATCTGAATTCATTTAGGTCACATCGGATTCATGTAATAAGGGTGAATCAGC